ACACGGAGACGAAATCTGTCGGCAGCAAGGGCGCGGTCGTTATGCAACCACGTATTTGTTTTTTCTTTACTTCAAGTTTTGGTACATTACAAAAAGCACTATGTTCATATTAGTAGACCACGGTTCTCGCAAGCAGTCTCAAGAAGGAGGTAGCGCCAGTCATCAAGACGTGCGCCCAACGCGTCTTGTCACTCGATTGGGTCGTCTGCGTCGCTGTCCGCCGTTGGCCCTGGCCAGTTTTTTTTTTTTTTTTTTACAAAAAAAGGAGCTACGATTTGTAATTTTACATAAAAAAACCGACCTGTGAAATACACTTTTGACAAAATGTTTAGATTGCTAAGTACACGCGACGATTTTTACAGCCCACTTTAGATTGAGCCTGGTTATTTCAGTCACCGTATATACGCTTAGTTCAGAGAAAGACGGTCATAGATGTGCCAAGTCTATACTTTTTTTATTATATTTTATATTAGGCACCAATAAATGTTCATACAATGAAATTAACCCTGTTTTGCAAGAAATGTTTCGTTATTTTCGTCAAACAAATCGTATCTGAGGGGAGGTTGAATTACGTTTTTCCCAATTGCGCGTAGATGCAAGTTTGAGGACCACAGGAATAAAAAAATAAAACTTCTTACAAAGTAACTATTCATATGTACCAAATACATACCAACTGGCAGACTTGTACGTAATCCGTTACAAGTAACGGAATTACTTGTAATCCCTTACATTTATCGGTAATTTAGTAACGGAATAATTACATATTTTCTAGAGTAATTTTAAAGTAATTCCCTTACATTTTTGACGTAACGGATTCCTTGTAATCCGTTACATTTTTTTTTGTCAAAACAACCCCCCCCCCCTCATTCTAAATAAAGTTTTTTTTTTTTTTTTTTTTTGTAAAATTGAGCGCAGTGACACTGTCACGGGAATCGACCACCGCAAAGGGAGGCTTGGCACTCTTCAGTTCCGCAAAGCCTTTTTTTGCAACACCAAGCCCCTGAGTATCTTTTTTTTAGACCCTAACATCAATGTAAAAAAATCCAAATAAACAATTCTACAAAAAAAAAAAAAAGGGGGGGGGGGGAGGGCAAGTTATTTCCGCTTCTTTTTTAGTCCTTTTGTTTTTTTCTTTGTGGTCGAAGACGGGGAGAGGAGGGCACCCAAGTGATTGTGCGCCTCTTCGAGAAGCTCGAGGCGGTAAGTGCGCCGAAAAGAATTAACAATGTCCTTCTCGGATATAGTGACTACGACCATTTTCATAAAGTCACAACACGAGACAACGCTCCCTCTACCCTACCCTTTTTGTGAGTCAGCTTTTTGCGAGCACTTAGAAAATGGTAATGGTCTTCCTTTCTTCTTCTTCCTGTTATGCCCCAGCAGGACGCATCTTAACTCAAGCAGATATTTTTACAAATAAAACATAATGGTGGCTGACGTAGACTTGATATTCTGGGCTTGAGGAGAGAGTGAAATTCGTGAGTGGGGCCATAGCGCGGCTTACTTGGTTCTCTGCCCTTCGCTGCCCGTGGCATCAGCGGACGTCTATCTGGAGAACACCGGAGTAAACTGCAGTCGGCCCGTGCTCCGTGAGTTTTTGAACGGCACCAAGAAAGGTACACACGGCAAACGTGCGTCTACATTTCCTTGTTTTAACTGACGTTCTAATTAATTGTTGTTATGAGTGTCCTTTTTCTTTCATTACTTATATTTATATACTGGAAACTTTTTTTTATTGACCAACGTCTCAAGTGAGGCTCGAACTGTTCAGAACCAAAGGAAGAAGAATATCGAGCCAAACCTTATTTATTATTTAATTATCACCTTACTGTTACAACTATGTTTTGCTATTGATGACTTCTACAACTTCGCCATTTAGACAATGGAGAATTTTAGTAGATCGGTCCGATGACTCCGATAACGATATCCGATACTTCGCCGCCGTCTTTGCGTATGCATCATATCGTTATCGGGTACCGTTATTGCGAATATCGGAGGTATCGGAATGATCTACTAAATCTCTCGAATAGCAGGAACGGCTGCAACGACGAAGCTTTGCTCTACATTCGAGGTAAATAGTACTTCCCTTGCTTCGCTGAAAAAGCTCAATGCAGAGCATGAAGCATTCGTGAGGAACAATATGGCACTCCCATCCGGTGCCTCAGCTCAAATGGTGTTCAGCGTAGCAGTCGACATATTGAGTAAGAAATAAAGCAAAATCTCTGACGAGACTTTCGAGAGCCAGCTGTTGCTCAAAATACTCAAGGTCATTAAATGGAACAGGTGGCAAGAATAAGAAATTCAATAACCCTCTTCCATTTGTTTCTTACTTGAGGACAATAATGTTAAAAGTAACGCCACGAAAGTAACGGATTACTTTTTGGGGTAACGGTCAGTTACTTTCATGGGAGGGTAATTGTAATTGTAATAAATTACAATTTAGCCTCGAGTAATTGTAAATGTAATTCCTTACTATTTTTCAGTAACGTGTACAAGTCTGCCAACTGGTCTACTTGAAGCAGTTAGATTAGTTTATATAAGTTTATATTTTAAGTAACATAAACTTACTAACTTGGCCTCATGCGCAACTCTTTATATTTAGAGAGTTCTTTGGTGATTTTTAGCACATCTTAGAGTTACATTTTAAGGCTTAAACTTTTTCTATGGAGTATATCGTGCTTCGTTCACTATTAAAAAAAGCCTATTGCGCTCGACTATTTCAGTGTTCTTGCATGGATGTTTTCGAAATTAAAAAAGTCAAAATTGTGCGATTTTTGTGAGCCACTTAAAAAAGACAAACATAATCATCCTCAATTTTCTCCAAATTTCCCACGATGAGCCCCTGGAAACGCCTGCTATTGTTTCGCATTCGCCAAGCCCGCCATCGGTTGGGGCAAAAGATTCCTAACGTCTCCGGCTTATATGCTCTGTTTTCCTTACGATGGTCAACAGGCGACGTTGATTCCTGCAGTGCAGCGGAATCAACCAAGCACGACACCCAAAGGACAGACTGTGCCGCAAAGTTCAGTTTTCATATGCAAGATCGGCCTTATCACTTATATTAAAAAATATGGCACTTTTTTTTTGTTTTTGTTTTTTTGTGTGTAATGATTTATGGTGTCTGGGAGATAATGGGACAAACTACTTGAACTGTGGATGCGGTGCTGGAGTGCCACAAATCGCTGAGGCAGAACGCGTTCGTTGGTAATTTACCGCGACATAAATCTGGAAAGAAGATTATTTTTCTAATTTTAAACATTGTAATTCAAAATATTTTTGCGGTTCTTAAATCATATATTTCAATCAGTAAATCGAGAGAAATCTGAAATATATCGAACAGTTATTATTTTTACAATTGCAGCACAATTTTGCACAATTTTGACTTGGTATTTGGAAAACTCCGTGGCGAATAGCAACATACGCAAAATTTGTTGAGCGCTAACTTCTTTGTTAAGAGTGAACAGTTCGTCAATTAATGTGTAGAAACGTTTCAGCTTACAATATTACTTCTAAGATGTGTTACAGTATCTACGATAAATGCCTAAATATAGAAGAGTTGCGCGAGAGGTAAAATTTGGCATTTCATTTCACTTGAAACATAAATTTAAATAAACAAAATTTGACTTATTTCAGGTACATCAGTTGGCATGTTTTATACATAAAAATATTTGCATCGTAGAAATCTTGCATTTTTTTTCTACTCCCCTCAAATTTCCGTCTATGCGCAAATGGAAAAAATGGTAGCTCTATACCTTGTCTTAGGCGTTGATCTTTTAACGAAACCCAGCGCTTTTCTCTTCTTTGTTTCTTTGTTTTAAAGTAAACTTTATTTATTATATTTTTTTACATATTTTGCTACCATATATAAAAAATTATATGAAAGCGAAAAATAGGTATGACACCCCTATGACCTTCCTTACCTGAATACTTTAGAGGTTGCTTTTGGAAACGCGAGTCAATTCGCTCCTGCCAAATCTATGCATCGCACATAGAAAAAGATTGCTTTACTCGTGGTCTGTACCAAAGGCCCATTAAGGAAAATTATTAACGTTCAGTATAATTAGACAACTAATTACGTTTCAGTAAAAAACTTTTAATCGCTAAATAAAAGGTATGGTTTCAATTATAAACTTTTATGCGAATCATCGAAACCTACAAAGTCCACCCGTTTACAATGATATAAGGAACGCGCAGTATTTTTCGGCGTTTCGAATATGCGCTTCATTCGGACGCGCTTTTAGGTTTGGTCTTTTATCGGAGCGGATCTGTGCGCCTGCAATCTCGCTCTCCGTGGCCAAAACGCGCAGTGTACGTGCGCCGTCACAGATGGCCCATTGAATTAACTAGATAAGAAAGCCCCCGGACTGCCACATGATGTTCGCCCTTTTGACGTGGGTGCCTGGGTGAAAACGCACCTTTAAGCGTGATGCGTGGGTTTTGCCACCACGTGAGAAAAGAGAGAGGGGGAAAGGGGAAGGGGTAGAGGATTATTGCTGGCGCGGGGGTCCGATCATATAAAAAACCGAAACCTAGAAAGGCATCCAACTTGAGCAATTTTCTGGCGCGTGCCAAATATTATTTTAATATGGATTGATTTAAGAGCTTCGGATGATTCGCGTCACGTTTCTAGTTTACACCGTACCTTTGAAGTTCATAGCTAAACTTTTAATTACGAAAAAGTAATTCATTGCCCATTATACTCAAACGCTAGTCATTTTCTTAATGAACCCTTTGGTTCAGACCGCTATGTCATCAACCTTTTTTCTGTACGATGAGATGTTTTCACATGAGGGATTTGACCTGCTTTTCCAAAAAACCCTAGTGTATGATCGAGTGTTGAGTCGGCATGCGCTTGCATGTTGCCTGTAGCAAGCTGCGCACTAGTATAATATCTGTTCTGCCAAAACATGTACAGCAATTTTACTTTCGCAACATGACTATATTCACTTGAGTAAAGCAAGGCGTCGATTAAAAGTAAGATTTTGTCAGATGTAGCGTACGGTTGCTGGGACTCCGTCTAGCTGCCGACCGCCATGATTCGAGACGAGTATGGCTGAAACCCCACGATCGATGGCTATCTCAGCGTCTTCGGCTGTAAAAGACGGAAAAGAAATCTTATCATTATTGTCTCAAAAATTTGCTCCAAAGTATATTGTTTTATTCTTAGAAATCAAACTATGTGCTTGATGAAAGCGTCATGCCCAACGCCATGAAATAATTTCGAACAGTCTTCAAAACGTTTCATCAACAGCTTATACGAAGCTGCATTCACACGCATAAAGCTATCGAAATGTGACGCTGTGCAAACGCCGGTAACAAAATCAACAATACCCTCCATATTAAACCAAATATCCTTCCCCACCACAGTGGCCTGATCCAAGGGCGAAAGGGTGACGGGGGCGGCCCCCCCCCCCCCCCCCCCGCCCAAGCAAAGTCGACCCCCCCACCTCCCCCCTTCTTGGAGGGCAATTTGACATTGGTGGACCCCGGGTGCACAAGAAAGAATGGGAGAATAGTATCCTTTCAAATTTTCCGCCCCCCCCCCCCCCCCCCCCGAAACTTTGGCTTAGTACTTCAGGGAAGTGGTTCGCATTACTTATATATTCCATAATGTAAAAAAAAAAAACTTCACTTCGGCGTTTTAGGTATCAATTCAGAAAAGCTAAAATTCACAGGATTCTTTCATACTCCCGACACATGTACAACATTGTTCTCAGGAGGAAGGTACAAAAGAGGGCACGAGCTTCGAGTTTTCTTTTGAATATTAAATCGTGGTATTGTTCGATACAAAACTGCATTAGCAGGCTTTCTGACTAATATCTAGACACAAGAAGTACAGCGTGCCCCCCCCCCCCCCCCCAAAAAAAAAAAATTTGCAGGTTTTCTTTTCTATCGCAAAATGGAGCTACGCATCGCCAAACGTTTGTCGTTCAAATGTACCGCTTGCGGTCCCAACCAGGTTCCAAAGTTTCAGAACTAACCGTTAGCTTAATCAAATGTATTTTTTTTTAAATTTTATTGGGAAAATAGGCTTCGTTTTTGTCCGTTTTCGGTAACTAGTGCCTTTCAGCTTCATGTATTTAACATCTCCATCGGCCGCCATTTTTCCATTGAATATTTTAAGAATCACTTATAACTTTTGAATAAAATCACGGTTACTTTTATAACTTTGCCACCTGGTTCGCACCACTTGCGCTTTATTTGGGCTAAGGATGAGCGTCCGTCAATGCGTAAATTATTTCTTGCGTTAAAAAAGGTTTGTATATTGAGGGGACACCATGTTGATCACAAGCTTCTCCTCAACTAAATGCATTCTGTGATGCAGTGGTTCTCAAAAGAGGGTCCAAGGACACTTTGAGGTCCGCGAAGGCGTTATAGGAATCCGCGAGAAGAAATATTTCAGTTTTCGGGCGAGTTTTCTCGTGTGTATGGCAATAAGAGAGGTCTCCTTCACACTATCCCTTAGTTATATCCATTTATTAAATCATTATTATGTTTAACCTAAACCTCTCCTCTCCTCTCACCGCGAACTGGGTCCCTCATAATCTCCGCCGGCCCGCGAAACTTCGATGGTTGAGAACCACAGCTGTAATGTAAGGCGATTCTCCCGTTTGTTCAAATATTCTAATGACAAAAATGCATTAAAGATACTTCTAGTTAGTGCTAATAATATACCAACATGCAACTTTATTGTGATCTACCCGCGAGTGGGTTACGTTGTGGCTTCCCATCAGCCCGACCATGTTGCAGCGGCTATGAAACTGTCCGCTATTTGACTACTATTGAAAGCTGCGGACTGATTGAAAACATGATTCATTTTATGTTTTATGCACCTGTGGTGTTGTGGTTGGTAAGTTGGCCATGCGGGGGTAGGTAATCGATGATGGGAAGGGTCACTGCGTCCATTTTTGTGGAGGAATAGCCAATTTGACATTTTTGCTCCACTGTCGCTCTTTCTCTGTATTAAATTCCTACAGAAATAGGATAAGCGCGATAAAATGTTGAAACTTAAATCTTCATAAGCCCCAGTTTTACTTACAGTTACTTAAATGATGCGACTAAAAGATTATAACCTACAGCTTACTAAGGAACTCAAGAAAGGTATCCCATGCTACAGCTGTAAGAATACTATGAGCAGGCTCGCACCCGTGGTGATTCCTTTCACGACGACGGGAAGACTGGTGATGCTCTTCAACCAGGTGACGTCATCCCACGTCTGCGCAGCGTTGATGAGTGGATCGTTCACGGGCAGCACCATTTTCCCGTTCCCAACTTCGTCCTCCGCGATCTTTTTGAAGTTGGCAAATCTGGGTTCGAACGGTATACCTCAAGATATTTTCGTCCATTTCTAAGAAATTTTCTATTGAAGTACCAAGAATGACCGCCTATTATTAGGGTGGAGCGTTACTAAAATTAGGAAACTTGAGACCTCTACGAGGTCTCAAGTTTCCTCATTTACATCCAAGCTACATCCGTACCGAGGCACCTGGTATGGATGTTTGAAGGACGAAACGACCCTGGCGTCCCGTCATATTTTTCCATTTGTTTCTAAACAGGCACTTGTTTTGCGATATGGCCGAAATCAGAAGTCGACACAAATTTTGCGTATCACAGTTAAGCAGTTCCACACTCTACGAGATACGCAGAGTCGTCGCCCACGCGCAAGCCGTTCCGCTTACTGTGGAGTTTGGCTATGGTAGGCTGGAAGGGGACTTTTGACGATCACACGACCAAAAGCGAGCCGATGACTAATGTCCATAAAGCCCGATTCTCACGGTGCGATTTTGCTTGATAATTCCCAGCTGCGACGTCGGGCACCGTATTTTCCTCCGCGTTCTTTTCCCGCACGAGCGAAGTTGCAGCTGCGAAACCGCAAGTAAAACAGCAACATGGGAATCATGATTGAGGCCATGCAACATCGGTGTGCTTGAGGCTGCTTTAGCTTGCAATCCAAGTATAGAATTTCAAGATTGGGCATCTTAACTCCACTCTGTAGTAATATGTTTCCTTGGTTGTTTTCTGCGCCCTGCAAGTTGGTGCAAGTTTGCACTAGAGTTTCTAATAATAAAGGTAATGCCCCCACTATCTCGGTAAAGCACGAAAATTAATATGTTGACTGCAAGGTGGAAGTTACTCACAAAACAACGCTTACGTATAAAGAGGCCTCGTATATTGACCAAACGGCCACTTCTGTTAACCACAGATAGTGGGAGGTTGACCTGTCGTTACAATCAGAAGTGGGAGCGGTGGGGTGGGGTGGAGAAAGGGGGGGGGGGGGGGGGTGGGAGCAGTTAATTCTTCATTGTGCTACGGGCCTATGGGTGTCGACCCAACCTTAAAAAACAGAGATTGGCAAGAGAGGAAACCGAATGACTAGGGAAATTTTAGAAGCCTGAGTAAATAAAAAAATGGGGATACAAAATGTGTCTGTCAGTGGTCACTGCATTTACCCAGCAAAGATATTGCCTTTTTAGATACGTGTTGATTCGCCATTCCGTGATGTGTTCGGTGTTGCTGATTTTTTTCTCTAAGTTTAGTTGAGATTTTGCGTTTGTCCTGTTTTCACTCCTCTACTTTGTCTACATTTTGCGCATTTTTGTACATTTGTCTTTGTTTCATTTAGAATCATATTTCCAAGAAATTAGCTGATATTTGTCAGTGTGCGCTCGTGCCACCATACGCATGTGATACTTTGCTTATTTTTGTTGTCTCGTCGCCTTCTCCTCAAATCTTCCTCTTCATATCCTTCAACGGAAGTTACTGACCGTGCAGAAGATGAGCGACTTTTGACACCCCTTAGACGAATACTGAACCCAAATTTGGAGCTCACAAAACACGGCTGGACGAATAGACGGGACGCTGCAAAACCCAAAAAGAATGAGAGGAAGCGAGGCCGCTTCCCCTCATTCTCAAACTTTCCAGGAGGATCATGACGTAAAAGCCCTCTCTTGATCGAGCCCTTCTTTTCCAAAAGTACGGCCATTCGTTTGAGATATCGATGTATCAGTGATGTCTAGGAGTTCGTAGTGTCCCGTTCAACGCTTTTGCATGCGGCCTCATTTTGTGAAATCCAAATTTCGGCTCAGTATCCCTTTAACCCACATTTCGCTTGTTCGTTCTATTGTTTGTTTGTTTTATACACAAAGAATAGCATGGAGTGTATAGCGCGACGCCGCTAGCGAAAAAGGTGCAACGAGCGTTTTGTTTTGTTTTTATCACGGCTCAAATGATGTCGGGAAAACTACTAATTTTTACGAGGTGATCATCCATGGGGCATAGGCCGATGTACTCAAGTGCTAACTATGTCGCTCAGTGAAATACACCAAATGCGGTTATACTAACCTGATATCTTCTGGAGGGCTGTAGCTCTTCTTTACTCTGTCTATTCTCATTCCGTACACTGGCATGTCAACAGTGAGTACAAGAGCTCGGTAACCTGCTACTTCAGCGCGTCTCACGAGGTCCTTTGTGAGGGCACGGTCCCTAGACAGCTGCATCTGGATCCAGAGAAGCCCTTCTCCAACTTTCTTCTTCACGACCTCCATGGAAGTGCTGCTGTAGAGGCTCAGTATCATCAGGGTTCGCTCCGCCTGCGCTGCTAAATATCGAGAACAAGGAGCGATTGATATCAAGTAAGAATCGGGCGCACTATTCAACAGCCTGCCCTAAAAATAAGGTGATTTACGCCTCACCCAAAACACAGATTAAATACAAATTTCAAGGCAAGTCCGGTAAAAAAGAAAGGGTGCGTGCGGGGCGATATTCTAATTTGTGATAATCTAATTTCCTACAAAGTTAAAAACATTTACTCCGGCTTAACATAACTTGTGGTCGCGTATTTGTTATGTTAAGCCAGATTTATTATGTTTATTATACTTTTTTTTGTTCACGTTAATCCGGAACAAACGCTTTAATCTATAAGTACAAATGTACCCTTACTTAGAGCACCACTTTCAAACATCTTGTAATAACCGATTACAAAGCTAGAATAATTTAAAATAAATATTTTGACGAACGTCTGAAGAATTGGTGGTTTTAGTTGACCAAGTAGCAAAATAAATTCAACTTGTGCGTTTTGTCCGTTTTCTATCATCACCCGTTGGGCAATCGCGAGAGGACGCAATCAGGTCATCGTTGCAACTTCGAACTGCCTACTATGTACTAGTGTATACGTCTCCGCAACAATGAGGATCAACTGCATTATTGGTATGAGGAGTGCTTACTTGCACTGCAAAACCATGTTAGAAGAATCCTGTTACAAGCGGGCTGTGCCATCTTGTCATTGGCAGTCAATGAAACGTGTTACGCAAGTAAGCAGCAAGAAGCGCGAACCAGCACGTGATTGCACTATGGCTATACATTTCATTACCTGTGATCAGAGCACTTGTCAAAGATGTAGTGGCTGCGGGACTGCCCTTGTGCATTCGACAGAATTTCGCCTGTACGAGCCTCTAAATATGAGGCCATGCTCGTCGGCCTAGCGCTTGGAAAAAAAGCCCTCGCTACAAAACCTAAGGATTCTGAGGATTGAAATAAGACGCTCATTTCGATGTCGATTATCATCGTATCGGAGTTCTGTAAAATAATACCTCCTTTAAGCGCCTCAAAGGTGTATTTCGGTGATTGCTTTAGCTACCTTAACGAAGTAAATATTTGGAATCACCGGCCTTTACTATTTTTGCTATGCTACTTAGTATCGCAAACTTCAGATTAGTTATTGTGAAATCTCTAAGTGAAATTGTTGCCAAAACCATTATTCAAATATACTTGCGCGTTTCAATGCAATAACGCCAGGGGAAGGCTAGCTTGCAGGTCGAGTGGTCAGTGTAAAATATGGACTATGCCGAGCATTTGTGTTTCGTGCTGCTGCGCGGGTGCTGAATCGGGCTTCCAAAGCATTCATTTTTGACGCTATGAAACTGCTTGTCATCAGTTGGAAACAAATTGTACTGTCCAATGAGTTAACTTCTGCCTTCTCCTGGCGCTGCTTTTTCTATTGTTGTCAGTAGACTTACACTTTCAAAAACAGAATGGGGACCAAAATTGTAAATTCAATATGTTTGCCAAAATAATTATTTTGGCTTAATATTTTGGTTACTATTTCAGCGTTGCCTGTTAGTGCGTTTCGCAAATTTTAAGTCAAATCTGGGAAAGCAATACCTCAAGTACTCGCCTACGACTTTGGACTAGTGTCAGTACTTTTTAGGAGAATATATTCCTTTAACTGCAGAGAGGTTCAAAACTTCAACTTTTTTTCTTACGTCACAAATATTTTAAAACACGAACGCTTTGATTTTTTTGGTGGAATCTCGGGATTCGCAATACCTGATGTACAAGAACAATATCGCAGATATGTGCGTAAACAAAAGGAAACAAAGAGCGCAGAGCGCCTCTTTCGACAGCCCAGACTTTACCACGGCCTTGATGCCTTCCTTGGTTTCTTAGCTCCGCATGCCCGATCGAAGATCACTTCACGCCAAAGTGTTATCTAAGCTAGAAAGCGTGCTCCGGAGAAGATACAACTTTTGAGATCTGTATTCGCAGCTAAAAATTCGATACAATGCGATCGTCATTTTCGGAAAAGGATCGGCCCGCGCCTCAGTATACTGACTCGCGGTGCTAAACTTGCCTCTGGCCGTGGCAACTTCTCCGTCTGGGTGAGCCAATTTCTGCAGGGCCGACGGCGATATTCCGACCGGCATGGACAGCTTCTGGTCGCCCAGCAGGGTTACTCCCATTTGCCGCTGCCCTAAGTCACGAAGTAGACGAGGGCGGAGACACAACCTGCGTGTACAGAAAATTGATTCCATGTATTCCCTGTCACCTTACGATGAAAAGCATCGTATTCTACGAGCGATATCAGCCAATCCGATTCAGTGTGTATATCACGTGACCTTCGGGAGGGACGTTAGAGACGCGCAGGATGCTTAGTGACGTATCTTTACAATCCTAGAATGGCTGGCATTACTCATAACGTCCGCTATGGTTCACCGTAACGGGAAACGGAGAGCAGAAATACGTACGAATTTCATCATCAATATTTATGGTAGATCTTTTTTTTTATTAACTCGCAGTATTTTTTTACTCCACTTTGAAGCAATGAGGGCCCAACTTTTTTTACTTTGTACCCAGTGTCTTTAGAGAAAGAAAAAAGGTCCGACTAGCGCGAAAACAAAAAGATTGCTCTGCGATTAGACAAAACCAGCCTTTTGGCGAGCAAGTAATTTTTCACAGATCCTCTCGTTCAGAACCTTATCTTATGGTGGCTAGGGGAGACCCAGGACTTAGGAAAGTGCGGAACAAGATTGACTTGAAGTGTTTCTGTGGGTTTCCACCATTCTTCTACGAACCATACGATGTCAGGAAGAAAATTTGGAAGTGCCCTTTACCTTGAAAGACCCATAATGCATGAAATGTCTTATAAAAAATGGGTTTGTCACGTGACGTACATTTTCCGCTATATTTAGCTGGGAAACTGAATGGTTGCATAGTTTACGTAACGTCAAGTCACGTGACATTGATTTCCTCGCTAAATTTAGTGGGGAAACTAATTCGCGTGTAGGTCTCAAGATATCAATTTCCCCGTTAAATTTCGCGAGACAGGCGCGGACGGACGGACAAAATATTGGGATCGAGGAGTAGCGTTAAAAATCACTTCATACTTAAAAAAAATACTGCGAGAAGGCAGATATTGTTATTTGGTGACATTAGAGGAGTAGATCATTGCGTTCGACATAAATCCCCTCATTACTCGAAGCTTTATTCAGCGAAACAAAGAAATGGTTTATCGACGACTCTACGACCCGTCAATAATATTTACCACAACGGTTCCTTTAATGACCTTCTTTCTTGTATGTGTGTTGCCTATGTTCACACGGTATTTTCGGGAGACGCACATTTCCGCCAGTTTTAGTGGCGTAAACTGGACAGCATCAGCATTTCTTAACAGTGGAGAGCCGTGGACAGCCACACGTTTTATTTGCGACACGCCGCAACATTGTACCGTTTTCTTTTGCAGCCGGACAGATGCGTACTAAAGAGCTGCATTCTTCCAAGTAATCAAACACGATTGTCTAGTTGACGATAGAAAACGTCCAACATGTGCGGAAAGTAAAGTCTCTAGACGCGTTTCCGTTTGCAAGTAGCGTCTAAAGCCTGGTTCAGACAGTTGCGTTTGACTGCGTTTGACTGCGTTTGACTGCGTTGCGGCAGCGAGAAACCAGGACATCCCTGCTGCTTTTATCGCGTGCCAAGATGATTCCTTGAATTGGGTTCCACGCTTCATACGAAGCACAAATGTGCCGGTGACTCGCTTTCGGTACTCGACGCAACGCAGCCAGACGCACTCAAACGCAAGTGTCTGAACCGGCCTTAAGGCGCCGATGCACGAGGCACATGCATCGTGCATTTGCGCACGCCTCGAGCCGTGCACGAGGCGTGTAGCCCTTGGGCTGCACTGAAATGCCCAAGGACTGCACTGCGCTACACGAAGGCTTCCAAGGGCTGCACGTCTCGTGCAGCCCTTGGAAACAAATGGCGAGGATGGAGTCAAATGAGTGGCTCTTTGAAGCGAATGGCGACGGAGCACTCGCTCGTGACACATGCCTTGCGCGTTTCCACAGTTTGTGGTACTTGTATGAAACACCAATAACACGTTTTTTCAAGTGGTTTTATGGGGGGATCGGTGGCCGAGTGGTCTAGCGCACACCAGCTCGGTGCACGTGGAGCGAAAGCTCGCGCTGCAGAACCCAGGGATCCTGGGTTCGAGCCCCACCCCTGCCCGTTTCGATCTGGATGAGCATCGTACCGGCGTGCGGTCGTGTATCACTACTGCGTGATGCACGTTAAAGACCCCAGGCTAGCGGCTGTACCGCACTGGCTAAATTTCTCATCTACAGCTGGGAGACTCGTCGCCCCTGTGAGGCAGACCAAGTTCTAGGCTGTATAAACACACACACAACCCAATTATTATCAAGTGGTTTTAGTGGAAGGGGCCCACCATTTTGAAGACGCAACAGACATTGTCAACTTGTACCATTACCCTGATGAGACTACCTCTTGACACATCACAATCATTATCAAGAGCCCGTTGTGTTGAAGATGAGAAGACATTGTCAATTTGCGCCATCAATCTGATTAGACTACCTCTTGGTACACAAATCATTATCATAATAATTTTCAAGCCATCATCAAGATCCAGTTCTGTTGAATACGAAACAGACATTGTCAACTTGTACAATCAACCTGGTACGAATACCTCTTGATAGTCACATCATCGTCATCATTATCAAATCACCCCCAAGAGCCCATTGTTTTGAAGACGGAACGGGCATTGTCAATTTGTGCCATCACCTTAGTATACAACCTTTAGAGATCCAGATCACTCATCCTCACCAAATGATCATCAAGAGCCCATTATCTTAAAGACGGAACAGACCGTATCAAAGTGTGTCCGTGACCTGGTCAGACCACCCCTTAATGCCTATGTTGTACCCAACGTGCACCTGAGATAAGCCATCTTGTTCTCCTTCATGTCGTATTACACCTGAGACTGCGGTGGAAGAAATCGGAAGAACTTTCAGTAGAAGGAACAGACACAGAGAACGTCTCGTTTT